GCACCTCTACGTCATGTTCTCCCGCGCCACGTGCATGCGGAACATGCTGATCCTGCGGCCGCCGCCGCGAGAGTTCCTGGAGTGCGGGCCGCCGGCGTCCCTGCGGAAGGCGCTCCTGGAGTTCGACAAGAGAACGGTTTTGTCCAGGGCGGAGGCGAAGCAGCTCGCGGCAGAGCTGGGCTTCGTGCTGCCTTCCGCCTGAGCGCGGCTGCGCCTCGCTCGAAGCCCGCGGGGTTGTCCCAACGGCTTGGTCTTGCGCGCCAACGGCTCGCGGGGTTGTCCCGACAGCCTGGCCCGCGGGGTTGTCCCAACGGCTGCGCGACGTGACCTGTAGAGAACGCGCCTGTGCTGGCCGTGGCGGCGACGGCGCCGAGGAACATCGACATGCGCGCTCATGCAACAGGAAGGGGAGGAGGTGGCGGGGCGCGGAACAAACAGGGGGGCGAGGATGGGGACAACGTAAGGAGTGGAAGGGGGGCCCGCGCCAAGGCGAGAGGAAATATACGCAGAAGAGACAGCCAGGACGCCTCACCAACCACGAGGACGACGGTGATGGCTTTTTCCAGATTCGCCCAGAGGATTCTTATGTGGGGTTCTTCCGTCGGAGTAATTCTTATTTTTTCCTCTCGACATGGACGTCCTGTCGTCCACGGCGATAACCCATTGCAACAAATACCACAAAGAGCACACGCGCGCGTTCATGTCAGAATCCTACCGAACACCGTGTGTTTGCAAGCATTTCAACATAAAAACATCAAAAACCCAATGCTTTTTTCACAAAAATTGTACAAATTTCCCGCCCGGGCTCTCTTGCTGAAATCATAGGAAAACCATAGGAATCTTAAGAATTCGGTCAAATCCAGCGATTTCACGTCATCGCGCGGTGCACTCGCGATGCTCTGTCATGCACCCAGGCCGCGAATCCTGTGCAAAAAATACCACGCGGGCGACATGCGCGCGCGTCGCCGCGAGCGCATGCTCAAATCCTTCTAGAGTCGTCGCCGTCATTGGCACCGTCGCATGGACGTCCTGTCGTCCACGTCGCAAAATGCATGGCAGGAATGGGACGCGGCGCTACTACTCTACTAATACTACTACGATACATACTACTACTACTACTACTACTACTACTACACTTACTACACTACTTTCTACTAAATAACTACTTACTTACCTCTTTATTACTAATACTACTTATATACTACTACTACTTACTATCGGACTAATTACTATTTATTACCTAACTACTACTACTATTACTACTACTACTACTACTACTACTACTACTAATACTACCACTACTACTACTACTACTACTACTACTACTACTACTACTACTACTACTGTCACCACCACTACTACTACTACCTACTACTACTACTACTACTACTACTTCTACTACTACTTCTACTACTACTACCACTACTACTACAACAACAACTACTACTACTACTACAACTACTACTACTACTACTACTACTGCTGCTGCTGCTACTACTACTACTACTACTACTACTACTACTACTACTACTACTACTACTACTAATACTAATACTACTACGAATACGACTAGCACCAGTAGTACTGCAAATGCTTGTCATGGAACTACGTTTTGTGTTACTACTACTACTACTACTACTACTACTACTACTACTACTACTACTACTACTACTACTACTACTACCACCACTACCAACACCACTACCACTGGTACTACTACTCCTGCCTCTTGGGGCCTCCTGGGCCCCCTTGGGGTGTCCTGTCAGACCGTCGGGTTTCCTCCGGCCACCTCTGGCTTCCTGTGGTGTACCGGGCCATTCTCGACTCGTATGGCAATGCGTGCGCGGCATTCAACACGCGCTCGCCAGTTCCCGTCGGCAACCGCCATCGCGGCCGCATCAGCTGTACCAAACCGGCTGGCCGGTGTGACTTCGGCCCCAGTTGTGCCAGCTTTGCTTCTTATGTTGTGGGAGGGCGGGCGGGACTGGGCATGCCATGCTTGACTCGCTCGAGCTGGCTAGCTTGACTCCTACTCCTATCCTTATTCCTTATTAGAATATACTCCTACTCCCCCCTCAGGCCGGCCGATAGGGGCCGCATCCGGGTGGTCCCATCCTAACCTGTAAAAAACAATACAAAATCAAAATCTTTCTTATTTTTTCCTCTCGATATGGACGTCCTGTCGTCCACGGCGATAATCCATTGCAAAAAATACCACAAAGAGCACACGCGCGCGTTCATGTCAGAATCCTACCGAACACCGTGTGTTTGCAAGCATTTCAACATAAAAACATCAAAAACCCATCGCTTTTTTCACAACAATTCTATAAATTTCCTGCCCGGGCTCTCTTGCTGAAATCATAGGAAAACCATAGGAATCTTAAGAATTCTGTCAAATCCAGCGATTTCACGTCATCGCGCTGTGCACTCGCAGTGCTCTGTCATGCACCCAGGCCGCGAATCCTGTGCAAAAAATACCACGCGGGCGACATGCGCGCGCGTCGCCGCGAGCGCATGCTCAAATCCTTCTAGAGTCGTCGCCGTCATTGGCACCGTCGCATGGACGTCCTGTCGTCCACGTCGCAAAATGCATGGCAAGAATGGGACGCGGCGCACACCCCGCGCCCGCCCATCCAATCCGTTCCATTCTAATTTGCAAAAGACAATACACAGTTTTTGTTTTTCTTGTCAACATGGTCGTGCTGTCGTCACGTTGCAAAATGCGTGGCAGGAATGGGACGCGGCGCAC